ATATAAATCTCCATCCATGCCATGTGAACGAATAGCATGCTGTGAGGACCAGATAGCCAATAAGATTCATTTGCCAAGCGAAGACATTCATGTCCCATCTAGTAGGAAATCTTCCCTGGTCAATTCTAATCTTTATAAGTTTTGTTGCTAACTATATATTTTTTTTTCACTCCCTGTAGATACATAAGCAAAACCACATCCCCATCTCAAAATTATTGCAGGTTTTTATTCTAATGTCAACACATCCTAATAGCATAATGGTTGATCTAGTTCCACAGCTTTTTCTATAAACCAGTGTCTCTCAGTTCATGTCGTTCCTTTTTCACTAACATTAAGAAAATTTAGAGTTAACAAAACATTATTTAGTCTGTCCCTATGGGTCTTTATGCTTCCTTTTTGTTTAGTAAGGAGATCTTTTAAAGTATGATTAGCTCTTTCTACAACTGTTTATCCTATAAGGTTGTGTGGTATATCAGTAATGTGCTTTATATTGTAATATATATAATGCAAAGAATTGCTTCATGTACCTGGATTCATATATGGGGGTATTATCAGCCTTAATTTGTGCAGGTATCCACATAATTGCCATCATTTCCAACAAATGTGTAATTATACAACCAGCCTTTTCAGAACGTAAAGCAGTTGCCCACTGAAAACCTGAATATGTATCAATGGTATGGTGTATATACCTTTGTTTTTCAAATTCTGCAAAGTAAAACACATCCATTCTCCAGATTTCATTTCTTTGGACACCCCTAGGGTTACTTCCCGCAGGTAATAGAGTTTGGTTGTATACAGAACACATAGGACATTTAAAAAAATTTTTTAGCTTGTTGTCAAGTGATAGAAAATACTTTCTTTAAATATTTATGGTTTACATGGTGTTTTCATGAAATTTTGAGGTTTCTAACACATTTTCTATCAGTAATTAGTCAATTTCCTCATTTCCTTGTGCCAATGGACCTGGAAAACCTGTATGACACCAAATACGGGTAATATATAATGGATAGTTTCTACTTCTGATGGCCTGTTGCAACTGCATAAATAACAAAGTTAATTCTGAGTTATAAGGAATAACTTTAACAGTTTATATATACAAAATAACTCTTTCTGCACATTGTGAGTTAGTAATTATATTAAGAGTTTCAGGAAAATCTAATAACATAAGGATTGCATACAATTATGATTTTTAAACTGAAGAATATGGGATTTGGATCATCTTGTTTATTTTGTCTGTTTATAACCTGCCATTCCTATCTTGTTTGTGTAAGTATAGAATGTCAGTGCCTCTGGAATTGGTGTTCCCATTACAATATGTGGAAGAACCCAATTGTAGACCTCAACCAATTAATATCTCCCTTTAATTTTTGAAAACCATTAAGAGTTTGTAACTGATCTTTATGGATCTGTACCTTTTGTGGTCAAATTTTTTATTGACTTATTTTATAACCCAAATAGCTAATAGAATCTCCTCTCTGTATTTTTTTCTGGAGTAATCTGTAATACCCAGCATGGTAGAATTCTTTGTTTTCCTTAAATATTTTCCCTAAAGTATCTGTGTGAGAACGAGCCAACAAAATATCATCCATGTTATGACAAATAATAGATTAAGAAAACTGTCTATGAATTATTTCTAGAAGTTGTTGCACAAAATATTGGCACAAAGTTGGAATATTTAACATTCCTTGTGAAAAACTTTCCAATGGTATCTCTTTTCTGAACCACTGTTGTTAATAGTAAGTACCTTCTCCAGGAGCATCTACCATTTCATTCCTAATTTCATCATTGTCTGTCTCTGGGATTACAGGGATGTTAATTTGAGTATCTCATTGTTTTAAAAGATCTTTTCCCCAAAAGTTATGGGTATGTCAACCACAGAGGGTCTCAATTTCCCTGTTTGCTCTTCTGGCCCCACACATTTAATCCATTGGACACTTTGTCTTATTTTTGTGTGTGTGTGACAATTTACCAATGCCTATGAACTGTGTATAAACCTTCTGAAGTGGTCATTCTGGATTCCAAGACTTTTGGGAAAGGATCATGACATCAGTTCCTGTATCTACCAAACCTTCTATTTCAACAGTATTCATTTGTAATATTAATTTGGGCCTCTGATTGTTAACCACTGTTTGCCAGAACAGTTGTTTTCGAGGACTCCCAAGTACCCCTGCTCTCTCTGCTGGGGCGGCTTTGCCCTTGACGTAAGGAAACAGTAACAGCTGAGCAATTCTATCCCCTGCATTAATTTGCATCTACTTTTTCACATATGTCATGATTTTAATTTCTTCTTTGCAACCCCCATTTATGATACCTGGATGCACATTAACTCCTTGAGAAGTTAGCCCATTTCTTCCCAAGATCATTCCCACTGTTCCTGAAGGCAAAGGACCATAAACCCAGTAGTTATTTTGCAACATTTAACTTTTGGGGACAGAGTAGGAGGTTTATCTGTGGCTAGATCCAAAGCCTTGCTGCTGTAGAATGTATGAGATCAGCAATACTCAGTTTCGGTTTCCCTGCCTGCTTGGTACTTCCTGGATGACCAAAGAAAAACTGCTCTTCTTTTAAATTTTATTTTATTTTATTTTCTGCAGGGCCTTGAGCTAACAGGCCCCACAGTTTGTTTTCCAATGACAAGTGTTACCTGGTATGCCTCTCCTGGATTTACTGCACTTACTAGCAAAATTACCTCTTTACCACAGCATCGACAAACCTGGGGAAATCTGGGCATCCCATTGCTGCCAGAAACTGCTTTTTTATATCTATGAGTGAATGTACCATATTTCTCAGAGTTAAAACACCTGCCATTTTGAGACCTAAAGGTTTTAACCATACAATTTCTTTGTAAATGGCCAAATTTACTGCAAATAAAGCACTCGGTATTTTGATATCAGAGACCTCTAGCTTGTCCTATGATATTGACATGACACTCATGAGAGCTAATATCAGTTGTGCCTCTTATCCATTCATCTATGGGTGCTGCTCATGCCTTTAATGGTCTAATTATTCTCTTACATTCAGTATCTGTATTCTCAAATGCCAAGATCTCTATCAACACCTGAGTGGCATTAGGATTTGATATGGCCGTATTTACAGCTGAAGCCAATCTCTTTAAGAGGTCTGTGACAGCTTCTCCAGAGCTGAGTATTCTCTTAGTAAATGAGGTGGATCTTTTCTCTGGCTCCTCAACCATATCCCAAGCTCTTAAGGCTTCGACGCAACATTGTTCTATGACAACATCATCAGGTCAGATTTGTTCTTGTAGGTCAGCATAACACCCTCCACCAAGCAATTGATCTTTAACAACATTTATTCCCCCCCCTTGCTATATTTCAGTTTCCATTTTCATGTGGTAATTCTGCCACAATTACCATTGTAATTGTTGACCAGCTTCTAGCACAGCTGACACAAATCCCTTTCAGTCTTGGAGAATAATTCTATTTTGGATATCCCAGTTACTTAATATTTGTTTAAAGAATGGAGAAAGCAACACGTAGGGAACAGTGTTTCCCATTCTCTCTTTCCGGTGGCTTCTGTCTTTTGTGCTTACTGCTTGCCTCTGACCTGTATTTGCCACCAGATGCTTCTTTTGTGCTGTCATTGACCCACTGCCCATCCTGCCTCTTGAGACCCCGGGATACACAGATGTTATCACTCACCTGTGCTTCTGCTGCCTCGCGCAGATTCTACATCCCGCTCACAGCAGAGTTCAGGGACTATCGAATGAATAAACGAATGGTCATGAAGGACCAAACAGTTGCATGCTAGATATGTCCTGTGTCATACGTAACACTAGAGGACAGCGGAAGAAAGGCGGAGCAGGGGGATGGAAAGGAAGGAAGGTTTTCTGAAGGGATGCAGATAGAAGCTATTGTATCAGGATGGCCAACGGACTCAGAGCCCACTGCTTGAGACTGAGACGATGAGGGAGAAAGCCTCAGACAGAGACCCTCTCCTCTCCTCCTGGGAGGTCCTGTGGTGACTGTTTTGTAGCTGGAACTAACATTTGAACATTAGAAAGGCATGGGGTCATGGCTGGGCTGAGGTGGAAGCACAGGCCTTTAATCCCAGCATTCGAGAGGCAGAGACAGACAGATCTCTGTGAGTTTGAGGCCAGCCTAGTCTACAGAGCTAGTTCTAGGATAGTCAAGGCTACAGAAAGAAACCCCTGTCTCGAAAAAGAGAGGGGACGGGCAATGGGACTTAATTTGTCGGTGCTCTGGCCATTTACTGAGTTCTAAACAATAGACACCCAGATTGAAAGGAAAATGCAGCCCAGCCCTCACAGGAAATCCTTGGTATACTCAGTCTTTGTGGCTTACCCTCAGAGCTTCCTGCCACTGCTTACCCAGGCTTACCAGGCCTAAGAAGACAAGGAGAAGGGGGCAGACTGGGCCACAATCGTGCCACCTGTATTGCAAAGCAGGTGCCCCTGGCAGATCGGTTCCCAGTTTTAACTGAACACTTTCCCCACCACCTCCACCCCCCTCTTCCAAAGATGCAACTGCCAAAAGCTGTTAGTGGGGACTGCTGTGTCCTGTTCACAAGGGTCATCTGTAGCACACAGGAATGGACCCAGAGGCCTCTCAGCCGGCCTCTAGGCATGTTGCCTCCAGCATCTGTATCCATAGCTGCCTCTTTTCACTGATCATGCCACAGGTCATTGTGACACCATTTGAATGGTCAAGGAAGTGAGACTACATGGCCAGCCGTCATTGACATATGTGCACAGAGGTGTCTGTCTACACAGGATGCCGGGCTCCCTTCGCAGCTGACAAGTAGGTGTCAGTTCTGGTCATTCAGTTGGGGGTTCAGGTGCCTCCTGTGACCTGAGTGGACCAGATTAGATGTCACTGCTGTCCACTCTGTGGCTTACTCTCCCAGACCCCAGTCTCCTTTCTAAAAAAAAAGCAGGCACTAAAGCAAATCAAAATTTTTATTTTATCTCTGCTTAAAGGAAGTGGCCAGTATCCATCAGGGTATCTGAGGAGCTCAGGAGCCTCTGTCCAGGTAGGCTGCCTGTAGGACATAAGTCAGTGGCCATGTAGTGGTTCACATGGACACAGGACCTGAGAGGAAAGGGTGGTCATACTCTCCTCACCCAACGTCCTTACAGCCACATGTTTATTTTCTCTCTGTTTCTGATGTCACAGATCTAAGAAGAGGACATAGATTCCAGAGGCTAGACCACGTGGCTGTGTGGTGGAATGAGAGGGTATCACTTTGACTGTGTCTGCAAGCCTTGGGAGGCATTTGGGTCTTACTCGTAGAAAACACTCAATGGCAGAGTGAGCATGCGCACCAGGGGAAGAGAGCTCCACACAGCTTTTTATTGGCAATGACAGCTTCTGTCCTTTTAATTAGGGAGTGGCAATGAAGCATCTTCTCCACCTCCACAGGGAGGTTTTGGCTGAACCCGAGGTCTGGGCAAGGGAGGGCCTTTCTGTTGGTGAACCTGTGTGCCTGATGGAGGAGGTCTCTTCTTGTGCTGCGGCTCACGGGTACGGTGGCTCGGAGGCAAGGGACGATGATGGCTGGGTGGAGGAGGAGCTTGGGAAGCCACTGGATTCTGAGACGCCGCTGCTGGGGTTGGATAGGACTTCGGGCCTCTTTCCACAGTGCTTGTTCTTGGGGCTTTTATCTCCAGCTCTTCATCTGTAAGGGCAAGACCTCGTGAGAGCTCGTTCTAGCAATATTGAGCAATGTAACACAGGTGTGCAAATGTGCTTGTGTGTATGTTCCTTTGTGCGCGCACACACTTGCATGTTTGTATACATATGTATGCCGGTAAGCACGTATGTCTGTACCGAAGGATAACCTCTGATGCCATTCCTCAGGCAGTGTCTACCTTTCTTGTTTTTGAGATAATCTCTTTCTCTCTCTTCCTCTCTCTGTCTCTGTCTCCCCCTCTCTCTCTCCCTGGCCTGCAACTTATCAAGGAGGCTAGGCTGGCTAGCCAGAGAGCCCCAAGATGGAATTACAAGTGCTACCTTGCCTTTTTTTATGTGGGTTCTGAGGATTCCACTTCAGTCCTCATGCTAGCAAAATAAACATTTTACTGATCCAGCTGCCTCCCCTGCCTCACAGTGCAAACACTGAACATGTCTCATGTGATAGGCATCAAACTAGCTGCTTCAGGAGATGTGAGGAGGAAAGGGAAGTTACTGCCACCCATTGAAGGTTTTGGGTGTTTCAGAGGAGAAATTGTGGACACAGGTACAGTGAGACCACAGCCCTTTTAAAAACTCAAAATTTTGAGGGAAGAGGACGCCTGGATGGAGAGCTTTGTGCCTAAGGCTTCAAAGCATAGAGTGAGCACCCGCTCTCAGAGTTCTAGCTGGATGCTGCCTAGAGATAATCAGCAAGATTGCTAAGCAGCAAGCCTTGTGGTTGGAGCCCGCTGTAACCCAGGTCTGAGTGGCCATGAAGGACATTAGTGACTATATTTCTTCTGCTGGGGTCTCTAGAGCCGGTCTGCCTTTTGCTCAATTTGAGCCACAATCTGAAAGGAAACTGGAGTACCCTCCAAGGGGCATTCTAGCCCTTAGAAATGGACTAGCTTCTCCAAAATTCATAAGCAAGACCCATCCCTCTTGGGCTTTAGCAGGAAAGATGGCTCCTCTCCTCATGCTTTGGGATTTTCTGTTTTGTGTGGCCCCCGTCCAGAAAGACAAGCCTGAGACTGTGTAGCTCTTCTTACACTGTTTTTAAATCACACAGAAAATCTGTGGGAACACTCAGCTGCCAAAGGCCTGGAGGCTCTGCTGGGCTCCTTTAAGGCACATTTTTGGCATTCCAATCCCTATGCCCAAGGCCATCCTCAAGGAGGCACGGGGAGCTTCTCTGTGGGGTAAAGGAATGATTGCTTGCATCCTTATAGAGACATAGGACTTGAGAAGCGTGTCTCAGCATCATCTGTGGTATCTGTAGCACCCCGAGGTGACACGCTGGCTATTGTAAATGTATTGTGAGTGCAAAGGCTCACGCTCAGACAAGGTGGTTTCGACACCCGTGTGACCGCATGCTCTGAGCACATACATAAAAAAGACACCCCGAAAGATAGCACATGTCCTTTAGGCCATGTCCAGTGTTCCCAAAGCGGCTGTGCTCAGGTTTGGGAGGCGCAACTTTGACTCTAATCCCCGGTCCCAGATATAGACGGGCAGGTGGCCCTTCACCCACAGTGACAGGCTTGGGTGGCTCTCTGCCAGCGCTTCTGCTTGGTGGCGTTTTGTTCCTCCTGTGACCTCTCTGCATGCTCTACGTGTTAGGCCCATGGCTAAGCTGCTGAAATGACTCAGACAGCAACACTGTCCTCAGTAAGTGACAGAGCCAGACAACACATCACATTGTCAGCCTCCACCAAGGTGAGGGACCACCAGAAGGTGCAAAGAACCACGTGAGAAGTGGGAGGGCGAGAGGTGTGCACGCGCTGAGCCCTCACACTGAGCTGGGCAGCAAGCTGGCTCCTCGGAAGCTGTACATTTGGTGACAGGCAGAACCTTAGGGCCCAAATCCAACCTCAGCAGCAAGGTCCGCCACTGCCTAGACATCTGCTCCAGGGGGGTCTTTCATGTTCTTTTTTTCTCTTAAGACTGTCTCTTGGTGACTCAGCTGAGGTCATAGATGCAGGTGAGAAAACCAGGTCCACGGGTGTCAGATTTAAAGAAGGGTTATCTAAGAACAACATGAGACTGCCTTACAAGCCAAGCCCTGGGTTTCTTGCCTCAGCCTAGTCACATTTCAGCCTGCGGGCTGTAGGTCTGCGGTGGTGAGCTGATGTGCTTCTCCATCTGTGCAAATGTCTATGTTTAGGATTATGAAGAGGAGCATGGTAGTACATGGAAAACACTGAACTCAGCTCCTGGAATGACCTATTGTCATACTGCACTTCCCAGTCTGCCGCTGGCAGAGGTTGCCTTGTCTCCAGTGACACCTGGGAGGAATGAGTCTGACCCTTGGGCAGTGAGAGGCTGGGCCTTGTAAGAAGGAGTGGAGACAGTATGAGCAGGATACAGAGATAAGGCCAGTGTCCAGGGCTCTGCAAGCCACTAAGCTCTACCGGACGGAGAAGCCGGGAGTGATCTAAGACATGAAAGGTACAGAGTGAATGTATGTACTCGGCCCAGGCTGGGGAAGTGCTGTGTGAGATGGCAAAGGAGGGTGTTGGCCTGAAGGGAGGACGACAGCAATGCTGAGGTGTGAAGAAGGAAGCCAAACCTAGAGGGCATGGAGCCACCACTGTGGGGTGTGGGCAGCCCCTGCCATAGGCTATGCTGGAGGTGGTACTCTAGAGAGGAACCTGCAGAGAGGGGACCCAGCCCTGGGTGAGTCTGAGGACTCTGGGGACATGCCCATCCACTAGCATGTCCAACCAAAGGCTGCCCTTACCTCAGCATCTGCAGTGACATCTGGACAGAGTCCCTGACATATTGTCCCTTCGGTGGTCAACGCCCCGCTTAGGATCAGCGAAACCAACCCCTGCTTTGTAAGCTTCAGGACAAGTCTGCATTAAGGAAACCACACTCCCATGGTTTAGGAGGAAACCATCCCTCCTGAATGGCCAATCAGGAAAGGAAGAACCCACACCCTGATTTTGGCTTTCCATTTTCTTGCAGTGCTGGGACTCAAATCCAGAGCCTCGTACACACTGAACGAGCACTCTCCACTTACCCACCCTTGAAATGCCTCCTGAACAGAAGTAGTTTTATCTGTATCCCCAGGAGCTTGGTGCTGAACACACTTTTGAGGCATCCAAGGCCAGGACATTTGTTTACAGACACGGTGCTGGGGTGGGGATATCTCCACCCTTATGGAAGTGTGCAGACCATTCAGGGATCTCCACACCAGCCTTTCATCAAGGCAGCCTCACCGTGGTAGATTCTGGGGACGTATGCAGTCTGGCTGCAGCTTCCCAAAGGTCCTCTGTTGTTACCCCGAGAGCTATCCTCCAGACATCAATCTGAGCACACAGAGAGCCAGCCTCTGGTTCCAACCTTGCCATTCTGACCTTCCCCTTCTCTTTCTTCCCTTTGCAGACTCAAGGAGAGATGTTCCCGTGGGAGATTTTGCTGCAGCCTACGGTGAAAAGAGGAGTGGGTGGGGGTGGCTCACCTTTTCTCCTTCTGTTCTGTTTCTTCCTCTTGCAGATACAGAAAATAAGCAGTGCCCCAAGGACCACCAAGAGAAGGCCTCCTGAGCAGGCCCCCGCTATGTAATACAAGTGCAGCCCTCTCTCTGCAAGAAGAAAAGATGGCTAAGGGAGAGGGTAGAGAGGCCCTGTCCTTGCTATGGCCCAGGCCCCAGCCTCCTACATCAAACAGATGAAAGATTTCCATGGGGTTTTCCACCTCACTGAGGCTGAGCTTCCGGGGCCTGGAGTACTAACCGAATCTGCAAGGGCTGAGGCACAGGGTCTGCCCACCTCACCCCGTCCCCCGCCGAGGATATGAGCATCCAAGTTCTAGAGGGGATGAGTTGCCTGAGGCCTCGTGGGACCTTTCCCCAAGTCATGCATCTCCCAATCTCAGCGTTCAGCTGTTGGAAGAACAGACTCCTCCTGAGCTCAGGAAAGCAGCCAAGATACTCAGCGGTTAGCTGTGGCAAATGCGGTTCTGATTCCTTCACCCGCCAGGACAGTGAAGAATAACAGAGAGGAAAACAGTGACATGGTTGTTAAGAGCATGTTAAGGGTTTAGTTCAGCTCTTCCAGGTAAGAGCTCTGTGGCCTTTGGTAAGATGCTCCACCTCTCTGAGCCTGTTTCCTTCTGTGTAAAATGGAAACACTGTAACTTACATCACAGAGTAGCTGTCGGAAGTCAGATCAGATAATGGATGGAAAAGTGCTTTTGTGAACTATAAAACAACACCTAGATATGAGATCTTGTTCTTGCTATGCTGGTGTTTCGGGTAGCTGTTTCCCGGGTTGGGGGAGGGGAAGGATAAACCATCTGCACTTTGTGAGTCAATAACAGTTAGAGAAAGCAGCCTGAGCAGGGGGTCAGGGGACCTTGGGGGAGAGTGGAGCTGTGCCCGGACTCACAGAAGCCAGAGACTTCACACTTGAGACCAGGGATGGGGCCCCCCAAAAGGGCATGATGTGGGTGCGGTTCACCTCCTTTCTCCCAGGCTTCCCCTCATCTAGTCCCGGCCTGTCAACTGAGAGCCTCTCTGGGCACGGCCTGTATAGGGGCATCCCTCAGCAACCCATGAAGCTGCTTCAAGGATAGAGTCAGGGACCTTCAGGCCCAGTTGGCTTGCCAAGGTCCTGGGATGCCAGAGTCAGTTCCCAGGTGTGAGCAAGGTGGGCAGGGCATCCTGTCCAAGCTGCACCTCTACCAGAGCTCCCCTATGAGTCCTCCACTCCTCTCCCAGATCCCTCTCCCCCGGACACTCCTCCCAGACACTCTTCAGAAGCAGGCACACCTTCCACGTCTGCTCTCCAGTTTACCCAGTACCCATGCCCTGGGTTCCTAGTGGTGTTCCTGGTGAGGACATCATTAGCTGTAGTTTTGTCAAGGTCCTCGCAGTGTCTTGTTCTAGCTACCCTTCCCTGCCATGCTTCCTTTTGGAGAGCCTGTGCCTATGTTTACATGAGGGACCAGCCCCCTTCCTCCTCCAAGGAATTTAAGTACACACTCACTTTACCTGAGCCTACAGTTAGGCTCCTGCCTGCCTTGGCCTTTAGAATGGTGGCCATTCCTTGGTGGCCATTCTCTGAGCCAGCTTCAGCTTCTGCTCTGAGTCTGAGTAAGCTCCCTCCCCAACTCCCAAACACTTCATTCTCTCCTTCCATGGCTCTCCCTCCTCAATAAACACTTATTTTTATTCTGGAGGGATCTACTTACAATAAACATGAAGCATGAGGTTGCCAGAGAAAATACAAAGACAGTTAAAAATGTGAATTTCAAATAAATAATGAATAATGTTTTTAGGGTCAATATATGGGGCTGTTTTTGGTTGGTTCACTGACAAAGTCTGCTGTCTCTAATGCAGGGCCTTCTGAAAGAGGAAAAGTTTTGGAGTCAAGGAGGGGCAGCTTTGACCCTCGTGCCTTTGTGATGGGAACATGAAGGCTGGGGGCCAGGGAGGCAGAACAGGAAGACTGCCTGTGAACCTGGCAGGGGTGGGCACGGGGTGAGGAAATGCCTTCTGAGTCGGCAGCCAACTCTCTGGGGCTTCCGGTGATCCCACTTCTGGACCTTTCACTGCTTCATGATCCCTCTGGGCAAGCGTGAGCTGCACTCACAGCCATGACTCCCAGAAGGGGTGGGACAACCCTCCTGAGATTAAGTTGCTTTCTGGGACACTGACTCTTGCTTTCAGGTTTGCCCTGAGAACTTAGCTGCCATGCTGGGAGGCAGCTCAAAGGCCCATGTGAGGGAGCCAGGGAGTGGGTTTCAGGACTTCTCATGCAATACTCTGATTCTGGGGCTGCTTCTCTCTGTGAAGCCTAAGACTGAAGCCCATGAGGGGGGGGGGGCTCTGTTAGGGTCACACCGACTAAATTCCCATCATACCAACTAAAACAGACATCTAGATCTCTGGCTTCCAGAATGGAACTCGGGTCCTGTGAGAGGCATCTCCTCAGAAACTGGTGCCGGGGCATGGGCACAGTGATGCATACCTGTAATCCCAGTGGAAGACCAAGGAGGCAGGAGGATTGCTGCAAGTTAGAAGCCAGCCTAGACTACATAGCAAGACTCTCCCCAAAAAACAAAGCGAACCAAAACAAAACAAGAACAGATCGTTTCTGGGAACTGTGGCAGGCCCCAGGCTCTGGAGATCAATTAGGCCTTTGGAGTCGAGAGCTGACGAGAATCACTGCAGTGCAGAGCGGTTCTCTGGGTAGCAAGAAGGTTGCCTCTCTGCCCCCCAGTACTACTCCCCACTCCCCGCCTCCCAGCATTCTGAAACCTTGCTCCTCCTATGGAGCTTGGACCCTTCCAAAAAGGAAACTTTAAAGAGGCATCAGAATTCCAGTGGACAGCCAGCAGAGGGACCTTGCACAAGTCGGATTCCTTCCTGCAGGAGCCCTCTTCAGCCCCGCAGTCCTTTTTCCCAAGGTAGGCTCCTTACCTGTGCAATGTCCAGTCCCACCTGTGAGTGGGCTGCCAAAATGGCTAGCCAGGAGCCCACCTCCCCAAAAGGTTCCCAGGAGAAATTGGTCCCTTTTCACTTCCCACACCGAAGTGCCCTCAGCCTGGCAGGCCATCGAGTGCCCTTGGCCACCCCGACCTCCGCTGTCACACCTGAACAGCCGGTGACAGTAGCTGTCGTGGATTCCTTGCTGACCCTGTTCGCTGCCGTGCACGTGAACGGCGCGTTCAGGCTGGTCCACTTGTGACTCACGATGCTCTTCTGGAGGCTTATGAGATGTTCCCGCCCTTGCTCCAGCCTCAGTTCAACCTCTGTTCCCTCGGTGATGTTACACGTCACGGTTGTACTGCTGCACTCCCAGGAGATCGCTGGCTTTGAGACCGTCTCTAGAAGAAAGACCCAATATTTATTAGGCAATTTTTGGATACAAAAAAAAAAAAAAAAAAAAAAAGACAGGATCTCACTCTGTAGCCCAGTCTGCCTCTGCCTCCTGAAAGCTGGGATTATGGGACTATGCTCCCAAGTACAATGATTGGTTTGTTTTGCTTTGTTTTGTTTTTAATCTTAATAAATTGGTTTGGGACCAAAGAAGCTCAAACATCCTAGTTCTTTTAGTTCTTTCTGGTTGGTTGTTTTGTTTTGGTGTTTGTTGTTGTTTTGTTTGTTTGTCTATTTTTCAAAAGAGTGTCTCAACATAGCTCAGGCTGGCCTCAAACTCACTCGGTAGCTGAGGATTCCCTTGAGCTTCTGATCCTCCTACCTCCACTTCCCACGTGCTGGGATTGTAGACATTTGCCATCATGCCAGGTTTTATGCAGTGCTGAGGATCACACCCAGGTTTTCCTGCATGGTGGGCAAACATTCTACCAACTAAGCTACACTATATTGGGATTCTTTTGAAAATTATTCTAGTTAACTGACATAGGACATCTTGAACAAAATCATTTCTGGTAAAGTTCATAGACATAGGATCTGAGTAAAAATAAGCCATTGTAACTGATGTTTACATAGTATATGGGGCATCATTTGGTTCTAACAGCAAGGCTCAAGTTCTTCTTCCCTTTTGCAGATGAAATGTCCAAAGCTACTTGACCTTCAGTGCCTGCAGAGATGGCTCAGTGGTTAAGAGGCTTTGTTCACCTTCCAGAGGACCAGAGCTGGGTTCCCAAAATCCACACTGGGCAGCTTATGATTGCTTTCACTCTAGGAGATCTGATCCCTCTTCTGGCCTCTGTAAGCACCTACACACACACACACACACACACACACACACACACACACACACACCTTTTAAAAATACATCAGGCCAGAAGAAGAACCCTGCAAAGGATTCCAAACTTCAGGAGTGTAGGTGAGGTCAGCCAGAAACCCCATCTTGGAGAAATGTCTCCTTGAGAGGCCCATGGCCTTAGCAACTTGCTGTCCACAGTGTCCTGGGAGCAGAGGGCCAGGCCCACATGGGTTGTCTAAGAAGCTGATGCTCTCCAGAGGAAAGACACCAGCAGGAATCAGGAAGGACACTGCTGTGCCTGGCCCCCAGGTTCTGAATTAGTCTCTGGCCTCATGGGACCTCAACTTTAAGAGACAGGAAAAAAGCTCCCTACCTGTCTCAAACCAGACAACCTGTGGCCAAGCCCTGGACAAGTCACCAGAGGTGGTTCTCCCTTTCCTGCTGCAAACTCCTTGGCCCTCCTGTTTAATATACCAGGGGGAAATGCCCTGGCTTTGGCATTAATGAAGTCAGACCCAGTGACCGGCTCCCCACTGCCCATCTGGAGACCCACTTCTCTCTCTCTTCCTTTCTTTCTCTTCCATACCTTACTCTGTTTTCCCAGACCTGCCATCTCATCTCCTCACTCTCTTAGTGGTCTCCATTTGTTACACAAGGCAACAGTGGATTTTTCCGATTTCCCCTCTCTGTAGCCTTCAGACCACAGTGTCTTCCCCATGGGAATCCCCAGTCTAATTCCATTTCTGCCCCAGCATCCAAGCATGCAGGAATACAGGTCCTTTCCACCCTGAGATTCTGTGTACCTCAGAATAAAGAAATTATGGAATTACCACCATCCTGCAGATCTGCGTGTGGTCGTGGGGTTTGCCTGGCAGAGACTACCCATCTCTCTAGGATGAAAATCCTTCGTAGTAACAGCCAATCATGTTAAGAAATACTGATCAAATTTTAAAAGGCTTTTTTTAGAGGCCACTGGAGATCACCTGCAGTTTTTGCTACTCAGAGTTATTAACATTTTGATGCATATCTTTATCATATATTTTCTGTGCATGAATCCATAATATAATATTTTCTAATTAAAACTAGATTATGTAGTTGGGGGCAGGGAACTGTGCTGGGTGTTTAATGCCTTGGGCATTCAGGCAGGAGCTCTACCACTGCACTATGCCCCCAGCTCCTGGATCACATGACTTTATAACCCGCCTTCCATCCTTTCCCCTAAGATTGTATCATTACACTCCTTTTTCATGGGTACCCGTCATCTCTGTAACTGGTCATGCCAATTAAGCAGCTGAAGTTCTAGCTTTGAAAGGCACTCCTGTGTTTCACTCCTGCGAACACAGTAACGAGCAACCTTCTGTAGCTGCAGCTCGTCTTCCTGTAAAGTGGCTTTCTGAAGGTGGCATGAACTGCTGAGGGCTGCTTCTAGATACGACGTGTTTCTCTGTGTAGCCCTGGCTGTCCTGGACTCACCTTGTAGACCAGGCTGGCCTCCAACACACTGAGATCCACCTGCCTCTGCCTCCTGAGTGCTGGGATTAAAGGTGTGGGCCACCACTGCCCTGCTAGATACGACTTCTTAATCTTGGGCTTCTGGGATTCTCTCCTCCACAGGAGTACGGCGACCCTGAACTGTCCCTTCAGCCAGCTACCTCATAAGGGAAGGTAAATCTAGGAGTCCAGGAACAAATAGAGGGGGAACCTCAGCACTGAGAAGATATTTGGGGTGCCCCAGGATTCCAGGATACCCTCACAAAGCTCACCACACCCCTTGTTAAATAACATTACAGGTTTCATGAGCACCCCTAATAGAAAAATTCTGAAATGTTCCAAAATCCAACACTTTTTGAGCCACAATTCAATACCACAAATGGAAAAGTCCCACACCCTGAGACCTTGTTTCCTACATAAAACTATTTAAAGTATTGCATTAAATTACCCTGAGCAGTGCGTGTGAAGTATATATAAGCATAGATGAATGTCATGTTTACATCTGGGCCCCGTCTCCGAGATATAGCGCGCGCACGCGCACGCGCGCACACACACACACACATTCAAATATTTCAAAACCTTCAAAAAGCCACAAATCCCAAACACTTTTAACCCCAAACTCATTAAGTAGATAACACATAACCTGCACTGGGTAATCAGGTTAGGGCAGAGAACATTCTTCCAGTGCTGTGTAATGCATGATGGTGACAGGACCACAAGTTGAGTCAAGATTTGTGACGCTGGCATTTGCATACAACAGTGAAGCCACTGATTTTAGTGTAAGGGGTATCGGTTTCCTTCGGGGGGGGGGGTAAAAACCCCCATGGCCCATGGTGATAACCACATAGCTCTGTGACTGTGCAGAAAACTGTTGAACAGTGCATGGAAAATGTGAATTATACAGCGGTGAGCTCATTTGGGGGGGAAATCTCGCCATCCTTGTCAAGGAAAGCCCTGGGTTGGAATCCTGACTTTGTTCCTGCCAAACAGTCAGTACAGGGTTAAGCCATGTTTCCTTATAGGTGGATAGAGCTTGTAGGGGTAAGTTCTCAGGACTGATAAACAAAACCAGGCTAACAGGCTTCTGGCTTCTCTGTAGCCATTATCACCCCAAAGAAAAGATGACACCATAAGGACACAGGTATAGGCTCAATACCACAACAGGACCTTAGGGCCACAGGGTCTGCAGCCATGTCCCTGGCCATTCTCAGCGCCCATGATGAGTGGCCATTCTCATTACCACCCCATTTCTGGAACATCCTCTCCAGACAAAGTTACAGGATTAGGGTCTGGAAAGGGTCATGCGTAGGAGAGCTGACAGTAGGCCCTGGAGAGGGGTTGGTGTTAGCTTCAGGTGTTGAGGACACGACAGGCAGGACACCACAGGTGGGATGAGGGGAGCCCTCCCCCTGGTGACATTTCCTGTGTGAAGCTCAGAATGTTTGCGTGCTCCCTGAATGGATGGTGTCTGCCTAGCAGGCGTTCTCGGCTTCCCCTACAAGCAAAGGGCAGGCTTTCTCATCTCACCTATTACTGCAAGATATCCGCTTGCCCCTGAACTTTCAGCCTCGGCAACATCGACGTTTCGTTCTCTTCCTTCGCACTCACTCAAGCTTCCTTAACCTTCTCTCCACACTCACACCCGGTGTGTTTGCTTCTCTCCTCATCTCCCAGTCACCTTTTTGCCCAAACCCGTGGCTATCAATGACAACTGCTTACAAGAAGCACTTGGAAAGCTACAGATCCCACTGGTGCACAGACTCCGTGCCAGGGGCATGGGCAACACTAACTCTTTTCAGCTTTTGTGCTTGTTCTTGTGTGCTACCAAGATTGAGACCACCCCCCACCCTGTTTGGTCTCACCAGGATCACATTACAGGCTTTCCAGCTAGTCCCCACACTATCCTGCCCTCTCAGCACACGCCTGTACCTTGTGCGTTTAGCTCAAGGACCAGCAAATTCACCACCCACCTTTACTGAGATGATGCTGAGAAGACTGAAAAGAAAAGCTGTTGGTTGTTCAGCTCAGTGTCTCCAGCCCTATCCTGTCCTCTAAGTCCTCAGAGCACCGTAGCTCCATCCTAGCTCTCCAGACAAGAGACTCACAGCTCCCTGGACATCCTCTGCTCCCCAGCTTCCTACCACTCCATCAGCCACCAAAGACACCGCCTCTCCTTCTCTGCTAACCTGTTCTCTTTCTACTTAATGCCCACCTTTAACTCCACAGCCACCCCAAAGAGAGAATGAAAGGCAGACAGACTTGAGGATTGCTCCCACCCACTGTTGTCTTCATCGCGGGCCACACAGGAAATGTTGAATTGTTACATTGGAGGCAGTTACAAAGACACTGCCTCCCAACTTGCTACATAGCACCCGTGCTGAAACGAAAAACTGCAGGGAGTGAAGACTTACCTAGAATCTTCAATTCGAAAGTTTTCTCCAGCCTGCTATGCCCGTTTGTGTCATACACTATCACATTATAGGTGCCGCCGTCATCTCTCTTCAGCTTTTTTATTTGCAGGGCTCCATTTGTTAATATCTCAAATGCCTTTGATTTCTCAAGAGATTCCGTCTTCCTTTTAAACTCCGCAACCAGAGTCTTTCCCTTTTTCCATCGTACTTCATCAATATCATCAGTCATTTGGAAGCCAGGGATGGTCAGGTTGAAATCACGACCCAAGGCACCCAAGATGGTCACACTGTCTCCAGAGACTGCCCCTGTAAAAAGCAAGATGGTTTCTGAGGGCTTGGTGCTGCCAGGAACCTCCCTCTGACTCTTACGCTCATTTCAGGGTCTCTGGAGGAGCTCCACATGCATGCTTACCTCTGCTGGAAACGCTGAAGAGCAGAAGGAAACTAGCCAGGATTTTGCATCTCATCTTTAGACTTCTTTTCCCAGTGGTGATTCTGAGTTCTTCTTTCTGTTGGGACTGTGGTAAGACTGTCAGAAGCCACACCCAGCAACCTGAACCACGTGCCTCTCATGCTTACTGTTCACAGTAGGGAAGAAAACACAACCTCGTCCTTCAGCCAAAGACCCATACAGATGCTGCCCTCCGCTGCCAAGACACATTTTAATCTTTACAAAACAGTTTACGGGGTTGGTTTTATCGCACCTATGAGAAGAAGAGCTGAGAGGTCAGTTGCTGTCATTCAGCGTCTGGCGCGTGCTTCCAGTGGGCTTGTCCAGGTGCTACTTGCTTCCGGGGGAGAATGGATGAACAGACTGACCTCCGGTTCAAAGGTCAAAAGTCCCATTCCTCACTCAGGGGCAGCGTAGAGCCCTCAGGGTGAGGCCAGGGTGTGGAAAAGAGTTTTCCACTGAGTGTTTGGCTCTTTTAGAATGAGATTGCCAGTATCAGATGGCAGTGGAAACTCCGGTGTCCCAAAGGCTGGTGAGGAAGCTCTTTGGTTAAGCTGCTGTGCTCAGGGATGCAGCCGGATGCCCCGGAAGGCAGGCCTGGTGAGAAGTAGGCCCAGTGGGTGCTTTAACCAGCACCCATCTTGCCTTCAGCAGCTGCCAAGGCAGTTCCGCACACAGGAAGCTTCAGGAGGACAGCCGCAAGTGGAGGACTGACCTGCTTGGTGTTCGGCGGCGACTCTTCAGGAGCCCTTCCTTCCCTGGAATAAATGACGAATCCCAGAAAGGTCATGGTGGAGTGAGAGAACAAGGCAACCTTTCCTGGAGAATCAGGGATTTATAAACCGTGGGCAGCGGGGAGGGGTTTGAGGGTGTCTGATTCAATAGGGCTAGAGGAGCCAGGATGCTTGATTTGCATACAGTGGTACAGTATCTGTTTACATGGGCAGGAGCACAGGGTCCTATCACAAGAAGGAGAACACAGAGCTTAATTATCCTGTGGGTGGGGAAAGACTTCCAGGTATGGTTAAAGGTCATTTGCTGAGCGCTAGAACCCCGGTGCTTGCTGAACCCCCGGTGCTTGGCTCTATCAGGAAAGGGTCAGGCCTGTAACCTTCCCTGCTGGCTCTGTGATGTTCCTTAGAGTTTCTAGAGTTCAGAGAGGGACTCTGCTGAGAAAGGGAATGCCTTCACTGTGGACTGAGCTCAGAGGCTATCCGGAAATGCCAGGCTTCAGCCTCTGTAGCAGAATCCTACAAGCTGTCAGAGTTACTCATTTGTAAACAAGGGGTCAAACCCATCTTCTTTCCACTCAGCCGGACTGCCTCCAACAGGACCAGGTATACTCATTAGTAAGTGTTCATGGATGAATAGAATTCAGAAGGACGAGGAGGTGTGGTCTTGTTGGAGGTGTGTCACTGGGTGTGGGCTTAGAGGGCTTAAAAGCCCTTGCTGTTCTGTTAGCTCTCTGTCTCTCTCTGTCTCCTGTTGTGGCTAGGAATGTAAGCCCTCAGCTACTGTTCCAGTACTAGACCTACCTGCCTGTTGCCACACTTCCTACCATGATAGTCATGGACACTCAAACTCTCTGAACTATAAGACCCCAATAAATTCCTTCTTCTATAAGTTGCCTTGATCATGATGTTTCCCACTGAAACGTAGCTAAGACATGCATGCAATGCCTGGAGAGGCCAGAAGAGGGCAGGAGATATCTTGGAACTGAGGTTACAGATGGTTGTGAGCTGCCTGTGGGAGCAGGGATGGAACCTGGGTCCTCTGGAAGAGCAGCCAGTGCTTTTAACCACCAAGTCATCTCTCTTGCCCTAAGACTATGAAATAACAGTCAACAACCAAATGCAAAATATATAGACCTATTAACACTATAGATGGTTAAGGACATGGAGAGACCAGGACAAACAAAACTGGGAGAGAGAAAGGGAAAAAAAAGGGGGTGTGTGATCTGGGAGAAGACCAGTGATGTGGGGATAGGTGCCCCCTAAAAAGACACCCAGAGAGGACATATGAGCAAGAGACACAGTGGACATCCAGTCAGTGAGAAAAGATCTTCAAAATCATGATTGTCCATTTCAGGCACTTACAACATTTATAAGAACTCATTACAGTTGAGTTAAAGCATTAATTCAAAGGGGGGGGGGGAACTGCAATAACACTTAACAGAAAACACACAAAGTATTTCTATCCTCCAGTAAAGAAAGCCTTCCCGTATACACGGCACAATTCAGAAATAGTAAAGGTGGACATTATTGGCCACATAAAAACACGGAATCTACGCATGCACAAAGGGCTAGTGAAAAACGTGAGACGCCCTGACAAAATATTTGCGAGGTGTGAAAATTGTTAACATCTAAGGTGTAAAGATGGTTTCTTGTTTTCCCTTTGAGGTGCTGAGGGTGGAGCCTTGAACACTCTAGGCAGATACTCAGCCAACACTCAGCTATACCCACAGTCAAGTGTATAAACAGTCTCTATCACTCACTAACAAAAAACACTTTAAAAATAGGAAAAAAAATATGGATTTACCGAAGAATATGCATGCGTGCACACACACACACACACACACACACACACACACACACACACAAGTATGTCATGAGCATGCGTTTAGAAATCAGAGAACAACCTGATTTAGTTCTCTACTTCCACCATGTGGGTACTGAGGATGGAACTCAGATCATCAGGCTTAGTGACGGGCTCTTCTACCTGTTGAGCCACTTCCCCAGGTCACGTTGCTTTCATAATGAAAACTTTGTTCACATCACGGATGCCTAAACCATCCGTTTCTGAGAAACAATTAGCTTTCGGCATCTCTACTGCTAAGTTCCCTGTCGCTGGCCGCCTGGCTGCCAGCCATAGGAAGAGGTATCACAGAATGTCCTCTGCTTCCCTCCAGTTTCTGCCTCTTCTTCTCACTCTCCTGTGGTTTCCCACGCTCTGGCAGAGCAGCACCCTTCTCCCATGATTCGCAAAGCTAACTCTGATCTTTCCATATCCACTTCAGCTCTGAATGATGAACCAGCTTTAAAGGAGGACCGTGAAAAAGGAGGATGGACAGGTCTGACTCATAAGATGTAAAACTTTTCTATGTAGAAAATTTATTTTTAAAAATTGAAAGACTATGTAGTAAAAAGAGGCAAATTGCTGACAAGATACATGACAAAAGTTAATACCCTTAAAATTAATTTTTTATAAAAATTAGAAAAAAATAGACAGCTATAAAATGGGCCAAGGTTCTTAAAAGAATTATTCACAAAGGAAGAAATCCAATTAAATGACAAATCCGTGAAAAGGTGGTTAAATCACTAATAAGGAAACATCCGTTTCAGCAGAGATCCATTATTCATTTAGAAAGTGAAAATAGAGTTAGTAATAGAGTTCAGAGGAGAGATGGCTCAGCAACATGTAGGGAAGGTTCAATGGTTATGAGCTCTAGCTGCTTTTCCAGAGGTCCTGGGTTCGATTCCCAGCCCTTCGTGTAACCCCAGTTCCAGGTAATCTAACACACTCAACAGGTTCTGCTCATGGTACATAGACATGCAGGTAAAACACACACACACACACACACACACACACACACACACACACACACGTAAAACAAAAGTAACAAAACTGAAAGGGAATCAGCCTGTGCGAAGAAGAATCCAGTTGCAAGCCACTCAATGGGCACAGTAGAAATTGGCCTCACCTACTACCTTAGCTTCAGCAAAGGAAGGGGGTTGGGGTTAAGGATCTCAGATTCAGACAGCCAGTCCCAAGGTGACCAGGACAAGGGCTGGACACAAGGGTGTGTTTGCAGACGGAGGTCAGTCCGCAAGAGTTCGGAGCCCTCTTTCTGCTTCCAAGTTGGAGGAAAAGGAAATATTTTTCACAAATAGGCATTTCCTTTATAAATGCTAACTTCCCTTTCAAAGGAAACCTTGTACCCTGTCTATGGAGTTTTCTTTGCCTCTGCTTGTTTCCAACAGCATTTAGCATAAAATAATCCACATCCCAAAGAGGCATGTTTGGAGGTAGCGTATTTTGGTGCCCTTTATGACAAAAAAAAAAAAAAAAAAAGGCTCATTTTATTTCATTTAAAGGCATGAGGTGGTGTGCTTGAGAGGGGTCTCCGTGTTGGGGGACAGTGGCTGCTGTTACTTTTCATTGATTGAGGGTTCACCCTGAGCGTGCCCCTAACCCTTCTGACAGTTCCCAGGTTGCAGCCTCTGCCTCGGCTGTGTGGGTTTCCAGGGCACGCCTTGCTGGTACTCCTTCCGGCTTCCCCTTGCACATGCCCGCAGCGCATGGCTCATCTGCCCTGTCTTCACTCTTTCTTGCCCAAACTAAGGCTCCTGGAAAGTAGACTAACAGGAAGAGAATCTGAAATGGAGGAGGAGGAGAAGGAGGAGGAGGAGGAGGCGGAGGAGGAGGAGGAGGAGGAAGAGGAGGAATGTGTTCCCAGGGGTCTTGGCTGAGTTCCCTGTAGTACTGAGGCATCCAATTCTATTTCCTTCGCTCTGTCTGAGACAAGGGAGAGCCAGACAAGGTTCAGGTCAAGTTGACATTTTGACCGAGACAGTGTTTCTGAATTCATATCCTACTGGATGGCTTGAATTGTGGGATTTTAGAGAAACTAACGAGAGAATGTGGTCTTTAGCTGGCCGCTCAATTAAGAGTTCTAAGTCCAGAGAGCTTCTGATTTGTATCTTGTCAGGTCAAGCCATTATCTGGGCTGCAGTCCCTGGAAGCTAGGCTTTAAGCTCTGGGAACTTCCTGCTTCCTCCTGTCCTAGGGCCATCACTGGGTCTTGTTTCCCAAGCTTCTGAAGAGGGGCTCCTGTCTTTACCTCCAGTCAAGCCCTGGTCCCACTTTCACACTCAGGCAAAGACCCAAACCAGCAGCCAAGCACGCAGCCTTGTTTACTGGAAACTTGCATTCACCAAGGCTTCGGTGATTATCAGCCAGGGAAGCCACACCGCCTGTCTCCTTTTGGCCAGGTTTTTGTTGATGTTCAGCTTAGTCATATCTGGCCCCATCGATCAGCGGCCACAGCTGCATCCCCTTCAACCGGGACTGTTGTTGCCAGGCACTGAGTCTGTGTGTCCTTGGCCAGCAACATATGT